TTGTAAACCTCAGGATGCTAAAAACTAGCCGTTTTTAAACCTTATGATCATAGAAGTTATCATTGATAAACCTCATAATTTATATAATAAGCCTATTATTATTTATTATTATTAAAAATTAAATAGGCGTTAAAATAACTTCTATGATCGCGCAAGATTTAAAAACGGCTAGTTTTTAGCATCCTGAGGTTTACAAATGGCTAATTTTATCAATTTCCAAGTTTATAATCGGCTAATTTTATTAATTTCCTAGTTTTAGAATCGGCTAAATTTATTATTCTCCAATTATTTAATTTCATTTTTTTAAATGTTTCTTTTTTTCAACTGTTTACATTTTAATTTGTAATAATTTTAATAGTTCTTTGTTTTTAATTCGACTGTTTTAAAGCTAGCGATATTTTAATAATTCCAAGTTTTTAACTCGCTCATTTCACAAACGGCATTATTTAGGAATTTTCTTTTTTTTACATGGACGTTTTTTCTTTTGTCATATTTTATTATAAGCATAAATTATTTTTGAAATTATTTATATTTTTCTCATTTTAGTGATATCATTTTTTACGTTTCGCTAAATTTAAAAGTGACGAAAAAACTGTAAACATAAAAACCTACCCGAATTAATGCACGCGATTGTACATACATACATACATACAGACATACGGATATCATCGCGAAAACAATTAGGGAAGCTTCCTAGGACCTCAAAACGTCAAGATCTGATGAGAACTCGATTTTTGAAAAACGGGGTAAAACCAATAACTTCCCGATTTTTGAAAATTTTCAATTTTCTTAGCGGGAAGTTATAAATTTTTGAATTAAGAAAAAAATAGAACGAAACATCTGTCCACGATCGGATTGGTCTAAAAACTTTCTATATTTGTCCAAGTTGTCTTGAGAATTTTTTTCAAAAAAATCGAAGGTATTTTTTTCTTGAAAAAGCATTAAAAACAAAAATTTTGAAAAAAACGAGACCCCGATAGCTGTATTTTTTGCGAAGTTATAGCTCTTTAAAAAAAAAAATTTGAATTTTGGAAAAAATCAATATCTCAGAAACGATTGGTCAAAAAAATTTGAAAAAATTCATGAAGGTGTTCTTTGACGGTATTGAAAACATATAAATACGTTCCAAAATTTTTTTTTTTAATTTTTAAATTTACAACAAAATTTTTTCTAATTTCGGAAAATCATATACAATCATATCGGTTACTTGGATTTTTTAATTTTTTTATTTTACAGTGAAACTATTTTTGTTCGGATTAATTTTACATTTAAAATATTTAATGTGTTTAAGTATTTGGTCCTAGCGTGTTAGGCTAATATAGACCGGGAACTTCCGAGTTTTAGTTTATTGAGAATGATAGGTTTGTTTGAATAAATTGATGTAGTTGAATAATTTTAATACATATATTTGTTTAAATCCAAAATTAATATCATTAGTTAATTTACAATAGTTACAATTATTATCCAGTGATTGAAGTTAACTTTTCTTTCATATAACGATTTTACAATATTACCAAATTCACAAATATTAATAATTTAAAATATACCTGATAAAAAATTGATGAACCTTGTTGATTTAATTTATTTTAGTTGGTTTCACTTTACGATTTTACTTTACCTTTACAAATGTTTTACTTTTTATACAATAGATTTACACGTGGTCTATTGAGACTTATTTAAACTATGTACGATGTTATTAACACCAGGACGTCAGGACAACGAGAGAGATTTTTTTGGTGACAATTGCGAGGTGTCGAATTTTAGGGCGTAACTAATTTCCACTTTGGGGGAAATAAATGACCAATTATTTGTCTATTTTCTTGGGCCCTTACCCTCTCTCTTAAATTTGTCTAAAAATGTTGTATGAGTCCCTCTACTTGGGTCTGAGTGCAACATACTTTCTCACTTACTCTTATGTTCTATTATTCATCTATGTGTTTGTGTATACGTAAGCGCATTTACGCATAGACAAAGACATACATTTGTATTGTCTACATAAATTTATTTATTAAAATCGTATGAATAAATATGTACTCGAACGTTTCCTTGAATTTAATTATTTATTTGTAGAAATATTTCTGTTTTGTCGTTTTATAATTTTGTTGTATTATTTTAGAATTTAATTGTTTAATATTTGTTTATTTTTAATTATTTAACTTTCAAGTTTTATTTTTTTATTTCTTTTTCATTTCATATTTAATTTTGTTGTCTAAAAATTATTTCGGAAAGTGCAATATTAAAATTTATTTCAATATTTTTCTCAACACTAAAATTCTGTCATTAAGTTATTCTAAAATCTTTCGGTTTAAAATAAATCTTTTATCTTGTTTTTTATCATTACTTAAGTATTTCTTATTTTAAGTATAAGTGAGTTTGCTTACGTATAACAAAACTCCCATTTATCTATTTAATCTCTTTAAAATACCTGGGCCCTCAGACTAATTACGGGAATTTCCCTGGGCCTTTTGCAAAGATCGAACGAGACACTTAATGACCACACTCGAATTATCTTTTACAATCGTTAAAATTTAAATAAAATTATACTCGATTTTTTATAATTAATAAATATGTAAAGAAAAATTTCTTTACATAACAGTGTGTAATTAAGCGACACACGCTGATGGAAGAAATAATGGGATTAAAAAAATTATCGTATTTTTTTAGTACTTCTTGAAATGCTGTATCTCATTGAAAAAGCGCAGATTATAGATCGTAAAAAAAGTAAAATTAAAATTCTTTTAGTGACTGATTTTTTGTAGTCAAAATTTTGTTTGAAAATTTTCTGAAATATCAATGAAAGAGTACTGAATTTTTATTGATTGGTTCCTTCCTTGATGATTTCACAGTTTCCTTATTTTTTTAATATCTTTACAATGAATTAGTTTTTAACTAAATCGATATTGTTGTACTTCAAAATATTTGAGATGTTCTAATCACAAATCCGATAAAACTTTAAACTTTCAGTACATATGTTGAAGTTTTACATCAATATAATTTTACTTAAAACGAATAATATATTGTTAACTTGTTTTATTTTTTATTCAGTAAACATACACTCACATAAAATTAAATGCTTCTTCTTAAAGAACAAGAAAATTCTAAAAAGAATAATATTAGGAATAAAAAGGTAGAAACAATAAAATGAAAGTGATAAATGAATACACTCATACGTAATTAAATTTGTATTTAAATAAATTATAAATAGAAGAAATTATTCTTCAAGTTGTTGGTCAACATCACGACGGAACCGCATTCCAAAATTAAGTCCAACACTAGGATCAAAACGACCATTAGGTAACTGTTGAACTCCTCCATGCACTCCTAAAGATGTATCTTTATTAGGTGTCCATTCGTAATTGAGTCCTCCGTGAGGATGAAAATGTTTGAAATCGGGAGATGAAACTCCTCCATAACCGCTGAATTTCTCTTTATCGTTAGATATGAATTTTTGTTGATAGTCCAAATTCAATTGCGGACGTCCATGTCCAGATTGCACTGATGCATCCAATGAGCCTTGAGGTGAACGACGGAATCTGTAAGTCTTTAAATTTATAAAATTATTAAATAATGCTTTTAATTCCGGTAATTTACATAAAAAATATATACTTACAGGAAATCTAGGAGGACCAGGATTGAAGGGCGGTATTGGATGATAAATTGGTGGTTGATTAGGACGTAGAATAGTTGGTTTAGAATTAAACCCTAGCACTCCACTGTAACTTATTGTTACTAATACTCCAAGTAATATCCACTTCATTTTTATTTTCTAATAAACTTAACTGGTAAATTTATTGAATATTTATTGTAAGTTCAAAGTAGTGTTTAATTTGAATGCAATTTGATACTGATGATCCAAAAGACTTCAGAAACGTCTTTTATACTCTAATGACAACAGGAAAAAATATTAGTAATAACAATAAGTCAAGCATCTGTCCCGGGGAATCCTGTGAAATCTTGGGAGTCCCAAGTGCATAAATTCGGTCTTTGTATTATAAAGTTTCTGATAGTATACAAAGACACGGGTAGTTTTTACGAAATTTTATGATATTCTTTTTTTAACGCAGCAGCCAATTTAAAATTGAATTAAAAACAATTAAAGTAACCGTTGATAATTCTTTAATGGATTCCTACAGTGATTCCCAAACGATACAATTAATGTCAGAACTAGGGAATTCCAATTATTTATCATCATTGACATTTCATTGAACTATCGCATTATTACTCATATTTACATACATTTATTATTTATCAATATGTAAACAAGTGAGAGTACTAACAGTCAGCACAGTGGGGATCGATGATTTATGAAAAGAATGAAGTCTATAATGTATACATAATCATAAAATTATCAATAAAATTAAAATAGCTTTATTTCATTATGTTGTCAATCAAACTTTAATATGCTTGAGGTATTTTTTAATTAAGATAATTTTTTCAATAGATATACAATTAGATTTTGTTACAAATACAAATTTCTCTATATATTAGTGGTGGCATTGCTACAAAGAAGAAATTCATACAGTTGGGACTCCCTATTGGGAATCACTGTGGGAATCCATTGAAGAATTATCAATGATTTTTTTAATTATTTTTAAATTGGCTGCTGCGTTAAAAATGGAATATCGTAAAATTTCGTAAAACTACCCGTGTCTTTGTATACTATTAGAAACTTTATAATACAAAGACCGAATTTATGCACTTGGGACTCCCCAGATTTCACAGGATTCCCCGGGACAGATGCTTGACTTATTGTTATTACTAATACTTTTTCCTGTTGTCATGACCGTCAAATCACTTCATATATACTAATGTTTGACCAATGTTTGACCGTGAATTGACCATATTATAACCGTGGCAGTGAATCCGCTAGGGTAGAGTATAAAAGACGTTTCTGAAGTCTTTTGGATCATCAGTATCAAATTGCATTCAAAATAAACACTATTTTAAACTTACAATAAATATTCAATAAATTTACTAGTTAAGTTTAGTAGAAAATAAAAATGAAGTGGATATTACTTGGAGTATTAGTAACAATAAGTTACAGTGGAGTGCTAGGGTTTGATTCTAAACCAACTATTCCACGTCCTAATCAACCACCAATTTATCATCCAATACCGCCCTTCAATCCTGGTCCTCCTAAATTTCCTGTGAGTATATATTTTTTATGTAAATTACCGGAATTAAAAGCATTATTTAATAATTTTATAGATTTAAAGACTTACAGATTCCGTCGTTCACCTCAAGGTTCATTGGATGCATCAGTGCAATCTGGACATGGACGTCCACAATTGAATTTGGACTATCAACAAAAATTCATATCTAACGATAAAGAGAAATTCAGCGGTTATGGAGGAGTTTCATCTCCCGATTTCAAACATTTTCATCCTCACGGAGGACTCAATTACGAATAGACACCTAATAAAGATACATCTTTAGGAGTGCATGGAGGAGTTACAACAGTTACCTAATGGTCGTTTTGATCCTAGTGTTGGAGTTAATTTTGGAATGCGGATCCGTCGTGATGTTGACCAACAACTTGAAGAATAATTTCTTTTATTTATGATTTATATAAATATAAATTTCATTAATTACATATGAATGTATTAATTTTTTAAGCTTTAAATAAAATTGATGAATTTATCAAAATTCATAAGAAAATTAATTAAACCAGCTCTTTTTCACTTCATCTTATAATGAACGATTTATATGAAAACATTATTTTTGGAGAAAAAAAAACTTTTGGATTAACATTTTTTCGATTTTAGTGTTACTTAATAAATTTTTCATTTTTTCCTGAAAGATACATTTTTTAGCTTTTTAGACGTTTGAAATTGTCACGACGAAACAACGTAACTCGGAAATTTTATCTATATAATCATCATCTAATCCAATGATAAATACAACAAATAGTAGTCTATAATTCTTATAAAATATTCAAATTTTATATTTAATATGTTTGTAAAGGACAGAATAAAGTTATCCAAATAATTTTGTTTTTTTTTTTAACTAAAATTTTAATTATTATTCTCATATACTAAAGTTTTATATTAATATAGATTCAGAGTATTACTACTAACACCATTATTATTTTATAATCTTTCGTTATTAATTACCTATATTATTAAAAATAAATATTTAAACTATAAATTTTTTTTATACTTTTTCCATATCGTTATTAAAAAATAAAATCTAAAATTACAGTGTATTCGCAAAACTTTACGGATTTATTTTAATTGTCGCGACAAAAACAACGTATATCTCAATTTACGATGTTTCGTCGTAACAAAATTAAATTTTTCTTTATCTGATACTGCTGAAACTTTGAATACTAATTATTCGAAATCATTATTTTTGTAATATAATGCTATATTTTGTCATAACAAGGCTCTTCATTTGTTTAATACAAATTAAAATACTTCTTGAAATTCACTAAAAATGTATTGAGAAAATTGATTACTTGTATTTTGTGGCTGCCATTAAATTCTATAATAAGTCAAAACTCAAAATAGAGCAATTCTTTTTTATTTCTAATCCAACGTTAATAAAAAACAAAAATTCAACTATATACACAGTATCATATTGATCACGTTGCTATTAAAAAATCTATCAGTTATTTGTATAATTAACCGTCAATGATTACTTTTTTATCACATTTAATAGTTTTATTTTTTGTTTTATAAGGTCAATAACAAGTATATATAGCTCATACTTACAAAACTAATTACTTTTTGATTGGTTTTATTCCCAATTAGTCCTCAACGAAAAAAATAAAAATTTATTTACAACGACATACTTGTTGACTGCAGTGAGAAACTTGAGTTTGATTCAATATTGAGAATATTAATAATTTGAATAAAAATTAATTAGTGATAAATACTGCGAGTAAGTATACCTGACGATGATTTTAATAATTATATGAAAAATTATATTCTACCGTTTTCTTTTTTAACTTCCCGCTAAGAAAATTTGAACATTTTCAAAAATTCGGGATGTTATTGGTTTACCCTCGGCTTGCGAAAATCAATTTTTCATTAGATCTCGACGTTTTGAGATCCTAGAAAGCTGTCCTGACTATTCTCGTGTCCCCCCCCCCACGGAAAAAGTATATATTCTAGTATATGGGGCATTCCATGCCAAATCGACCACTTTTGACACCGACCCTTTTCGATTTTTCTGAAATTTTGGTATCTTTCTCTACCCTATTGAAAACAATTTTCAGAATTTTTTCAAATTTTTTTCCCCAACCAAAAAAAAGTTATTACAAAAAAAGTTATATATGGGGTTATAACAACCAGGTATGATCAGATCTAATTATATATGAGCTTATATATAATCATGTATGATTATATATGCTCTCATATATGATTATATATGATCATATATAATTAGACAAAAACTTTTTTCATCGGGGAACTAATCCTTTTTGATTCTAAAATAATATTGCAATTTCTGTTCTCGTAGAGGATTCAGAAAAATAGAAGAGGATTTAAAAAAGTTTAATACTAACTTATTCTTTTTAATTCTAAAATAATGTTATGATTTTAACACTGTGGAGAATTCAAAAGAAGAAAAGAGGATTTAAAAAAGCTAAATCCTTACTTATCCTTTTGAATTCTGAAATAATATGGTAATTTCTGTTCTCACGGAGAATTTCTAAGGATAAAAGAGAATTCAAAAAAATTTATAATATACTTACTTATCCTTTTCAATTCTAAAATAATGTTATAAATTTAAGACTGTGGAGAATTCAAGAGAAGAAAAAAGGATTCAAAAACGCTAAATCTTAAGCTAAATTTATAGTTTAGAGAAAAATTTTCTAGAATATATTCTAAATATATTCCGGATATACCCCGTTTTGCCCAAGGAATATATTTCAAAATTATATATACCTGAATATATTCAGTATATATACGATGGACCAGACTATAGACCAGAGAAAAATTTTGAGTAAAACGGAATACAAGTGAGTGCATGCCCATATATTCCGGAATATATTCCTCGGGCAAAACGGGGTATATTCGGAATATATTCTCGGATATATTCTGGAATATGTTTCAGAATATATTCCAGAATATATACTTTTTCTGTGGGGGCCCTGCGGCTGTGTGTGTGTAAACCTCTTATAACTTTTGAACGGCTCTACCGATCGGATTGAGATAGGTGGCGATCCAAAGATTTTGAGAAATCTCAAAAATAAAATTTTCAAAAAATGGTTTTTTTGGACAACTTCTAAACGGCTCCACTAATAAAAAAAGTGTTTTTTCTACATAACTTCGACATTTCTTTTTGGATCGTTTTTGAAAAAATTAAATAAAATATATTAAATAAATATTAGAGCCTAAAAAACCACGTCGATCGCCGCCAAGAACGTAAAAATCTGTTGATCCATTCAAAAGTTATCGTAATTTGAAAATTCCAAAAATAGTATCGTATCTAAATCTCATCAGACTTTTGAGCTCGAAGAGCTTAAAAGCATATAATAGCTATCTTTTTAAGCTCTGAGAGCTCAAAATAACACAAAAACAAAATCAGTGGAATTTTAAGCGTTTATGTATGGATTTAGTGGGAAGTTGCAGGGATGGTTTTTAGGATCAACCGTTTTCTTAATTTTTTATTATTTCTTTAGTCAATACTTTAAATTTCAGATAAAACATGGGGCTGATTTTCCAAATTTTTGTGATCCAAATTTTTTTTATCCAACTATTTGTGGTGTATTCATATCTTATAACTGATACACATGAATTTTTTGAACGATCACGACGAACAGTCGCGATAAAAAACGAAGAAAAACTTTGGGATCATGGTATAATTCCATACGAAATTGACTATGTTTTTAGTGAAACACAACGTAAAACCATAAAACAAGCCATTCGTGAATGGGAAAGGTCAACTTGTATTAAGTTTGTAAAACGTAACCGAAAAATCAAAACAAATTACTTAAAGTTCACCAGGCTGAATTGCGGGTAATTAATAAAATATATTTATATTTATATTTATAGAAAAACAATTTTGATTGAAGAAAATTATTTTTAAGACAACAAGTTGCTGTGCTACAAGAATTTCCTGTCTTGAATTCCATCATCTTGACTTGAGAAACCAATATCTTAGATTAATAACTATTTTCATTTCATTCAAGAAGTATATTATCATCGATCGTGGCAATTAAATTTTTCATTTATGAACAATTCTCGAAAACTAACAATAGTGTTCTTGTCATCTAAAAATTTTTTAGTTTTTTTGGTTTAAGAAGTCGAAAATATGAAAAAAATCTTTTTAAAAAACGGAATTATTACTTTACTACCTTCTGAAACGCATTTGAGACTTTTTTAGGAAATAGAAAGTAGCTAAATTCGGAGAATTTTTAGTTTCAATGATATTCTTGAGACTAATCAGTAATATTTTGAATCAATGAGAACAATGAAATGCCTTATTAGAATAAAATTCTTCTAAAGAATTTTCTGTTCATCCTAACCCGAATCAAAATTTAAATCGTAAGTCGGATGTATTGAACGTTGAAAACGTAAATTTGACGTATTGAACGTTAAAAACCTAAGTTTAATATGTTGTGCTTTTCACATTATGATTTCACAACAAGATTCAAAACCAAAATAATCGATTACTTTTTTGTTTCTGAAACCGCATGTCAAGCGCTTACGATTTAAAATTAGTGCTGTGTAGAAAATTTAAATTTAAGAAATATCCGTATACATAGATTTATTATTTATAGTTTATTATTTGTATGTGTGTAATGATGCCGCAGTAAAAATTAATTTTATTTAGAAATTTTTCTGGATAAAAAAGAACGTATTAGCTCGACTTGTATAAAGATAAATTGTGTATTTTCAAAATGTAGACAAATTCTGTGTAGGCATGCATCATACCCATCATTTTATAATGCACATCCAATTTTTCATGGTAAGAAAATCAAAATTTTTGTTAGAGCGGGATAAACATATTTATTTTTAGTAATCAATTTTTCAATTTGCTATTAAACTATAATGTTTTTAACGTCCAATACATTGAATTTAAGTTTTTGGAAAAGTTTAAACTTGTTAATCTGCGAGTTAATTTCCTACAAAAATTTTTCTGATATGCGCACACTGATAAAAAAATGAATTTGATTCAAGAGGAAAATTCTTCAATCAAGTAAAATTTACTTGAATCAAAAATAATTTCTTAGATCAAGAATTTTTGTCTTGAATCAATTTTATTAGTTATAAGTGCATCTATAATTTTTTAATATAACCCTAAGTGTTTTGATATGGAAATTGACCATATTAAAAAATGATATACGCTCAAATCAACCCATACTAGACGCTTCAGAAATTTTGATATGGCCATATATGAACATATCAGGCTATATTAGAAAATTTTTTACGGGTTCTAAAAATAAAAAAACTAAGCATTTTGAAACAAGAATGTTACCAATATTTGAATAAAATATTTTTCTTGGATCAAGTGGTTTTTTACAGTGGATAATTTTTCATTCAATTTAAATACATAAACATCGAATTACTATTTACAGGTGTTGTTTTGCCCAGTCATCAAGTTCGAAGTATCTTAAATTTATAAGTATATCTAACAACTGCGACTCGTTAGTAGTTCTTCTTCATGAATTAGGACATGCTATTGGTTTTGACCACGAACATAAACGTCCAGATCGTGATGAGTATGTTCAAATTATACATCAAAATATTTTGGCGGGTAAATATTAAAGTATAGAAAAAAATAAAAAAATATAATAACTACATTTTTTATTGTTAATTATATTTTTATTTTTAGATAAACTTACAGAGTTTGATAAGCTAGCACCAAATTTGGTGAACACGTTTAATCAAACTTATGATTACTACTCTGTAATGCACTATCCTGGGGATTCATATTCGAAGTATGAGCATCGAGACACGATAATTCCTACCTCGAAAATTGGAAATAATCCGCTTCCCATTGGAGGAGGCATCAAACTCAGTTTTGGTGACATAGTAACAACCAATCTTCTGTATCAATGCCCCAGTAATGATTATTAATAATACGAGTTATTTACTTATCTAGAAAAAAAAAAAAAGAAATTTGGACATTGTGAAATATTTGAGTTGATCCAAGTTTAAAAGTTTTGGAAAATTTTTTTTTAATTTTGGCAAACTTTATGGAAGAAATTCAAAGAATTATTTTAAAACATAATTAGAAACAAATTTAATATTTTTAAAACTATAAAATTTTTAGTTAAAGTTTAAAAACTTTTTTTGAAATTTTGAAAAACATATTACTATTAGTCATAGTGAAACTATTTCCAATTTTATTCCCAGAATGTTTTGAAACTGTTCAAGAAAAATTCTCAACCGGTTTTGAAAATTGACTTAAAAATTTTAAGGTTTCAAATATATTTAGAAATAAATTGAAACTGTTTCTAATTCTGTTTTCAATGCATTACGTCGGCTCATGTTCATTTTTTTTAAAGTTATAAATTTGTTCAGATAAATTTATTTTATTTTTAAACAACGATTCGTTATTTTCCGAACTTTATCAAGTACTGCAATAGAAATGCAATGATTAACTTTAAAATTATAACACATATTATTCATTTTAAAATATAATATGGGTCTAGTAAATTTAATTGGAAAGTTAAATTTAAACTTACTGAATATCATAAGAAATATAATTATTCATATTTTATACATAAAAATCTACTAGATTTATGTTAAATTTAAAAATTAATCACATATGATATAATTTTAAAGTTAATCATTGTATTTCTGATACAGTACTTGAAATAAATCATTGAAGAACAACTTGAAAGACCTGATATATCCTAAGAAAAAATTCATCTGTTTTTAATCTTTTTAATTTAATTAAAAAAATTCAGAATTTCTCTTTTTACACGAATTAATATCGTGAGAGTAATAAATAATGCTATATTATATTTTGCAGAATGTGGAGGAACATTATTGGACCCCAAAGGTATTTTTGGTCCACCAATTAGTCAAAATAAATTATTAGTAAATGCCAACCGTTGTGAATGGAGAATTCAAGCTGCTGCAGGAGAAAAAATTGAACTTCACATCAAAGATATGAATATTCATGAAAGTCCTGGCTGTCTCGTTGACTATTTGGAAGTGAAAAACGGTTACGAAGCTGGTGACATAGTAATGAGTGCGTTTCTTTATTAATAAACAATAATATCTGTATCTATATAATTTAAAATGATATAATTGTTATTTATAAAATAACTTTTTTGCAGATCGTTACTGTGGGAAAATGGAAGAAATCAATTTAATTGCGACCAATTTTTTACAAGTGACTTATGTTAAAACAAGTGACAAAAATATTGTCAATGCTTTCAATGTGGACTACGAGACTGTTTGTGGAGGCTATTTCGATGTTAAATCAGACGCTATTTTAAGAATAGAATCGACTAATTATCCTGACAAATATCCGCCGAATACACGGTGCATTTGGCATCTTACTGCACCAGATAATCATCTGATAACAATGAAAGTTAATGATTTAGCCCTTGAACGAAGTAAAGGTTGTCTGAATGACTTCTTAGAAATACGGAACGGCAATATCTACTCACAGCCGATCGGGAATTATTGTGGTATTGAAAACTCATTGCTAATAAATTCTACAGAAAATAAAGTGTCTATTATATTTATCAGTAATGATGTAGAAGAAGATATGGGATTTTCCGCGGTTTTTTTGGCGATTCCGAATAATTGATTTAGCAGAAATTGTACCGGTAAAATCAGGATATTATTTTTCGTATTAAAACATTAACTTCTGCAATTTTTTCTTTCATGTTTTTGTTTTCATATACTGGATTGTTTTTTTTTTACTCCAAAATATTTTGAAAATTCTAATTTTTGTTTAAAAAAAAAAAAATCTTGTTTCTTTTTACGCTTGATACGTAGCATTTTTTTACTCAATAATGTTAAAACATTTTTAGTTTCAGTTAAAAATAAAATTTATGAGATTCTTTTTATTTATTTTATAAATTAAAAATAGTACCATCTTTATCTTTTGATGACTTTACTCGTGAACTGTTCGTTAATTTTATTTTCATTCTTTTATTTATAACATTTTTTATACTCTTATGTTTTCAAATAAGCGTTTTTTTGAGTAAGTAAATTTCGTAGAGTTTTACCTACTTATGAGATTTAATAACCCTAGCGGATCCATATACACCGTGTAAACTTAGTGTAAACTCGGTGTATACTTAGTATCAGTGTAAATTAGGGGTTTATTTGGTGTATACTCAGTGCATATTGAGTATACTCCAAATACACTCCAAGTTTACACTGAATTTACACGGTGTATATGCGCACAATATACACGGAGTTTACACCGAGTATACACTAAAAATTTTTTCTAAGTCCTCAGAACAAAAGTTGTGAAAAAAATTAAAAAAAAAAAAAAAAATTGAAATTAAAAAAAATCAAATTTTGAAAAAAAATTAATATTTTTAGGTAAAGTACCCAGTATTTGAACAATTTTAAAAATGGCCCTCGTACTTGAACAGTTTGGAAATTCTTATATTATTAAAAAACTCCGGCAGTAAACATTAATATTTAATGTATATTAAGATAACTTGATGTCTTAGTTAATGATACAAGAAATATTTTTTAATGTCAAAGCTAAATATTATATTTTATTTAATATCTATAATGACGGGATCATTGAAAGTGTCGATTAGTATCCATTTTTGAATGAAAATGATACCACAACAATATAAAAATGGCGAAATAACCCAAAATATTTGAGAATTCATCAAAAAAACTTAACCAATCAAAAATATAGATCATTTTGCAAAATATTCTGTTGTTAATAATGAGTTTTAATTATTTTTTTATATTTAATTTAGCTGTTCAGGTATTTATACCTCCCAATTTCAAATGTAGGACCCAAAAGTTGAACGACATAGCGCCGTGTGTTCATAAGTATACCGTCTCTCATTTTTACGTGACTGCAGTACTTGAACTGTCTAACTCAATGTTAAATAAATATTTTAAAGTGTTTTAAAAAATACTTTTAATCGTATGGTAACAAAAAAATTATACAAATAAAGAAAATAAAAAGAACTATAAACAAAATTTATTATTTTTAGGGCAAATATTAGTGTTTGAGAAATAAAAAAAAAATTACACGTTCTAACCTCACATTGTAAACAAAAGGTAAAAATACATTTGAATGTTTCTTAAAGTAAAAGGACTTAAATGTATGTTCAATGTTAATTTTATAATATAATTTAGCAGATATTTGATAATTTTAAGAATTTTTTTAACAAGTAAATTATGGTAAAAAAAATTGACATTTAGAAATTTAAAAAAATTAAAAATGCAATTTTTTAAAAATAATTTTTTGGAACAAATTCATTTATTTGCTAAAAAAATTAAAAAATAGTCAAGTGACTGCTAACTTTAATATCATTTATAATAAATACTTATTTTTGGGCCTAAAATCTTTTATTTTTATTTTAACAAAAAGTGTCTAAAGCCATACTAAATGATTGTTCAAGTTCTGGTACAGAGGTGTTCAAGTACTGCAGCCTGTCACAGTTTAATGTTCAACTACTGGGGCTCTTGAAGGATTTTTTTGAATAATTGAAAATTATTTTCTTTATGTAATTCCGATTTTTGTTTTTAATATATTTGATTATATGTTGTTGATTCGTTTCAGGCTATTTCCAGTCGATACAGAAACACTTATTTTGGTTGTAAAACAATTTTTTCCCAGTCACACTTAAAAATTTTTGACTTTGCTTACAGCAAAGGACTTAAAAAAAATTTTTGGTGTATACTCAGTGTATATACGCCGCGTATACACCGTGTATATTTGGTGTATACTTATAGACTCCTGGTATTTATACAACTTAAAAAAATTGTGAACGATAAGTTGTATTAATTTAACTTTCTAGTTCTGAAAAGTTAAATATTTTTGGATTATTATTTAAATGCATGAATAGAAAATGATATACAAACACTGATGTCAAAAATGAGTCAATCAATTTACGTGAAGTATATAAAAGAAGTCAAGTACATCATTAATTTTAGTGATTTAACTAATTTTGTTAATGTTGACGTTAATTTACATAAAAACTTGACTTAGCAAAACTTTTAATATGCTAGAATAAAAGTTAAAAATTTCACGAACAAAATTTTGTTAATATGATTGATGTACGAAGGAAATTGGGACAAAATAGTCGAAGAATTTATTTTCCACTCATGGCCGTCAGATTTAATTCATTTATCATTTTATATTCTACTTGATATCAGTCGAAATTTAATCAAACTGACTTGAACAATGTATAAAGAATTCCTAGTTTATCTTATTTAATGTCCACGCGATCTGTTCTACAAAATTTCCAATTCAGTAGTACTTGAGTGAACATAAACTCTTTATAAGTTGGTAAAAATTTAATTAATAACATTTTTTCTACCGTTATTTTAAGAGTTAATTTCATAAACTGATCTTGTTTTATTGTCGATGAATCATATACCATTTGCAGTTGTTGAAAATTTAGTGTGACTTGTAGAGAAGCGAGTTTTTCATAAGATAAACAAAGGATAAACTATGGTTTATTTCTATTGTAGAAACACGATAGTTTCAGAGGTAAAATAGTGAAACACTAAATTGGATTATCAGATCACTGATAACTTTTACGAAATAAGTGCCATCAATTTTGATAATCCAAATCATCAAAATAGAGAATTGAAAAAATTGAATGATAAGTTGTCCTTCATATTTTTCTAAATAATTAATGAGAAGAAATATAAAAGTCTCATAATCTGATCAATACTCAGTAAAATCGTTCTATAACTGAACTAATACAAATTTAAGGTCACTGATAAGGCGATCTTATCATTGACTTTATAATAATGAGAAAAAATTAAGTATACTTAACATAGAAAAACTATCAAAGTATTTTCCTCAATGTTTAATATAAATACAACTTAGATTAAATTTTTGCCTATTACACTCCAGATCATCAGAAAAATTAATTCTTTGAAAATAACATAGGCTATACTTATAGGAATAAATTACTCGATGAATTTAAGTAATTGCTAAAAATGTTTATCAAATTATTTTATCTAACTATTCTCAATGGTATATTTCACTCGGTAAGTTATTCAAAAACTTTTATAATTAATTTAGTTTGATTTTTATAAATTAATTGTTAAATATATTTCTTTTAGGCACATTCATCAATAAATAGTCAACTGCCATGTCCACGAATAGAATATGTCACTGAAAATGGGACGCGACGAATATCAGACGTGGATGGTTTCTTCCCATTTGTAACTGAAATGATGAAACATAAAATGGAAGGAGTTTATTTGCATTTATATGGAGATGAAGGCGATGAACCCAGTTCAGTGTATTACATTCGTTGTGATAAATCGGAGATACATCTGACTCTATCAGATCTAGCTGAAGTAACAAATAAGCTTCTTATGGAGAAAGAAGCAGGTCGTTCATTGTTTCATTTTGCTATCAATAACTGTCCAAATTTTGAAGGTGACATGAAGCAATTTCAATTGAAATCACAAATTCAGCTCTGTTACTTTCCCCCGGAATCAATTTAAGACTTTGAGTAGTTATAATTTGGAAATTTTATTTTTTCTTTATTGTACAGTAATATAATAATTAATAAGTTTTTTTATATTATTAATAGTATGTACATATTAAGATTTTTTTTTAATTTTATTTTAAACATTCATTTCCATAGTAATTGTAATTTTATAAGATTAATGACAATGATATACTCAGAATTTTAGTTAAAATTACAAAAAAAAAATTTCAATGAAGAAATTTCAGAGAATTATTATTGATATTTTTCAGACATTAGTTGAAATATTTACAGGAAGATGATAAAAAAATTATAATTGTACATTTATATCGTGTTAACATAAAACTAATATAATATAATATATAATATATAAGAAGAAAGTTTTTATTCTAAATATTATAAACTCAAATTTTTATAAATTAAAGATTTAAATTAACACAATAAAAATGTTATAAATTTAAATAAGTTTTTATAAATTAAAGATGAAATATTTTGTTATAATATACGTGCTTATAAGTATTAATGAATAAAATTTCAAACAGAAATAATAATGAAAATAAATTTAGCAGACATTTGACAATTTTTGACTTTTCTTATTGAAAAAAGAAAAAAAAAATATAACAAAAAAATTAAAAGAAAAATTTCAAGTGTAACAGACTTTAAAAATTTTTTTTAAATATTTCTTCAGTTCTGATTTAATTATTAAAACTCAAAAATTGTTCAACATCTGCTAGTTTTAGTATGATAAAAAATATTGTTAAAAAAATTAAATTACTTAGCATCCTTGGTTGTTTTAGACGTAGCTTTTCTTTTAGTTTTGGGAGATTTTGGCTGATCCGTGGAACTCTTCATTGCTTTCTTAGTCTTCGGAGACGCAGCGGTTTTCTTCTTTGGAGACTCGGCTTCATCAGAGATCTTTTTAACAGACTTGGGTTTCTTAGCAGCTTTTTCAACTGGAGCTTTGGGTTCATCAGCAGTTTTCTTAGCTGCTGGTTTTTTGACAACTTTTTTAGGGGGAGACTGCGCATCATCAGCTGTTTTCTTGGTACGTTTCTCACCTGGAGCCTCAGCTTCATCAGTTTTCTTGGCAGCTTGTTTCTTAGTAGCTTTTTTAGCTGGAGACTGAGCATCATTAGCAACTTCTTTAGCTGCTTGCTTTTTGGTAGCTTTTTTAGCTGGAGACTGGGCATCATTAGCAACTTCTTTAGCTGTTGGTTTTTTGGTATTTTTTTTAGCTGGAGACTGAGCTTCATCAGCAGTTTCTTCGGCACGTTTCTCACCTGCAGACTTCTTCGTTGGTTTCTTGGCAGCCGTGAGTTTCTTCTTAGTTTTGGATGCTTTCTCGGGTGCAAGCTTGAATGATCCAGCAGCACCAATTCCTTTGGTTTGTATCAATAATCCTTTAGTGACTGCTGATTTAATGAACTTCTTGATAAAAGGTCCCATTTTGTCAGTATCAACCATGTATGTAACACTAATATACTTCTTGATAGCATGAAGAGATGATCCTCCACGCTCGTCAAGAATTCTGATTGCTGTTGTAACCATGTCAGCAGTACTTGGATGAGTTGCCTTTGCAGCTGGTTTTTTGGCAACTAGCAATTCTGAGGCAAGTGGTACCTTCTGAACATTGAATGAAGATTCAGTTTTTGTCGTCATCTTGAATCTTAATGATTATCACGAGTAATTTGACAAAAATTGTCCGTATGGAACAAAATTTAAAACAAAACGAATTGTTTATAGAATTAACAACGGCTTTTATCGTTGATGGAATTAGTGACGATTCTTGGAACTAGTGGCGCTGCTGTTCCCAGTCAGTAGGTAGGGACTTTTACACGGACCAATTGTACGGAAAGAGACCGTACAATTTCTCCTTAAAATTTTTTCAAATTTAACATTTATCCCAAATTTTCTTTGTATATTACTTTTAATTTATTTTTAGAGTTGATTTTCTCTGATAATAAAATTTTAACTGTTTTTATGTGATGTAAATTCTGGAGACAAAAAATTCTTCAATATTTAATTATGACACTTCCGGTTCTGAAACTTCACATACTCCTTTAACAATTTAAATAAACAATGATAGCAACTTGTAAGTATAATAAATTTCATTGAAAATAATACTCAAATTTACATTAGATTCATAAAAAATTTTACTTTGGATGAATATAATTGGTCAATATTAATGAATGTCTTCAAAGAATACGAACAAATTTTATAATATACTAAAGTTAGCCGACATTTTTATTTTTTTAATTATTTTTTATTTATTAAATAAAAACTGAAAAATATTTTTAAAAAATTGCACTGATAGTTTTTCAAGTTTTTTACAGGTGAAATTTTTTTTTTTTTTTTTTGTAATAATTTTTTAATAAAAAAATTTCTGAAAATTTTGAAATGTCGGCTAACTTGATTTTCATCCAAATTTTACGTCTGGTCGGAAATTATCTCTTACGTAAAAACAAATTTTATGAGCATATTTTTGAAAATAAAGGATAGGTTCAACTGGCATGCTAGTCAAAGATTTTTTTAGTGTACAATTATCCAACCATTTTATAAATAAAAAAAAATATATTTTTCCAAGAAAATGTTTTATGAATATTCTTACAATAAAAATTTTTAGGTAAATTTCTTTGAAAATCTACTTACTGTAACCGGTCTTATGTCACAATTTAAAGTAAGTTTTGTTATCGTATGTTATGTTTCTTTGAGGTATGGTGAAAATATAACATTGGCGCAAAAGTTTATACATGTATGTTTGTGCCATAACGCGCCACTTTGGTTACAGGTCTTCGCCGATCTTTACGATATTTTGTGGAGTTATTCTATAATTCAATACAAAGATAAAATTCGAAGATGGGCAATATCGGCCCGTTACTTCACGAGTTGTGGGTGTTTGAAAAATTTTTTTATATTCGCAAAATTTTGAATTTTGTCAATTTTATCAAAATAGTTTTTCAATCGTGAAAGATAGCTCAAATCTATTATTTACCTTAAAGTTCACATAATTATCTTTAATTTTAGCTATTGTTTTCCCACTTATGATGAGTTTTTTAAATTTAATTTGTGATTAGGACAATTTTAAAAAGTTATCAATAAATATATTTTGAGCCTTTATCTTCGAATACTTTGTCAATCGTAGAAAATAGCTTAAACCTGTTAAATTTGTTTTGAAATTTACACAACTTTTTTCAATTTAAGCTGTCATTCGTCTATTTTCGATATTTTCAAATTATATCATGATTTTGAAAATTAAAAAAAAAATTTTTTTTTCATATTCATTTAAGAACATATCATTCCATCTCGGGTATGGCCGAATAGAACCTTATTCAATAATGCGCACGCATTATTAATAATGTTAATTTATTGAAATTAAATAACAATTATTTTAGCTCTAGCTATGTCAACCCGATTATTTATTCTTGATACTCCAAAATATTAATGGTAATCAAAATCCTAAACTTAAGTTCATATTTTTAAATTTCTTTAGTTTGTATGTAATATAAAATTACATTTTTTTATCTATACATCTTCAATAAAATCGATTTTAGTGAGCAAAGAAAATAATTAATTGATATGTTATCTATTTTTTTAAATATTATTTATTGAAAGTGTAAAAATTGACAATTATCACCGTACATAATATAAAATTAATCCGCTATAGCTAAGACATAACACTAAACAAAAAATCACTAAAAACGTTAAAAAAAATGTACGATTACTTAATCCATTCCATTTTTGTTAAAATTTAAATAGTAATTATTTATAATCATTTATATCAATTAAATATGTTTATCACTGATTGGTTAATATTCTTATAATAATGCTTATTACTATAAATCAGTAGTTGTAAATTATGATAATGTTGAATCAACGGCTGCACGAGAGCCACGAATAGCCCGTGGTCCTGAGTTTAATGACAGACCGCCTCCACCTCCGCTATTATTATCGCGAGGCTTATAATTATAAGTATTCAATTCTTGCGGATCCTGTGATAATTTTATAGGTTGCTTTGACTGTGGCCACGGACTTCCAGCTACTGCCGACATTATACCAGGAATGTCGTCATTTTTATGTGTTTTATCGTTGTCGCCTGAAATATAAAAAAAAAAAAAATATTTTGAATTAAAAAATTAATCAGATATTTGGATTTTATTTGACTAATTCTTTTATGAAAATCAGTTATTATTGATGACCTGAATCATAACGGCCCATTATATTTTGTTGTATCTTGAATATGAATTGTTGACCCAATTTTTCAATGTAGAACTTTTCTACATGCCCCGTCATGAATTTAAAGTTTGCTTCGTAAAGTTCAATGAGTAATAATAACAAAGCCTTTGATCGTGGACTTATGTTCCGTGTTATCAAAACTTCTCGAGCATAAATAAATAGATCTTTTAGTTCCTTCACTTCTCTAGATTGGAGCATCGGTCCATTCAATGAAATCTGTAAATAAATTAATTTTGAATATTATAAAGTAATGAATAAAATGTTGTAAGTTTTATATAAAGTGTAGCAATAAATTTATATAAAAATAAAACTTTAATTAGTTACCTGAATCACTACTAACTCGATTTCTTCTTCACCAGCTATTTCTAACAGCATTTTCAAACATACTACTAGAGGTACTTCTAATACTTTAGGTGGTACATTTTTACTGATGGTATATCTTATTCGACAATATGCTTCTCCGAGGATAAATACTAAATTTAAGAAATGTTCACGGTTTTTCTTAAACAATTCCACACGATCTGGAAATTTAAAAAATTACAGCCAAGAAATAAATTACAATTGTGAATCGTAAGTCTTTTGTCATTAATAAATAGAAAATTGATAATTAACACGTTTTATCGAATTTATAATAAAATTTTCATTTTTTAAAAGTTATTTTGATTAAAAATTAGAAAATTATAACAATAGCCAGTTTCTGAATTTTGAGTTGAAATTGGAATGAACGTTAGTTTGTTTTATATGGAGAGTAAATTTTTTTATCTAATAATTATTATTCTAGTTTTATATGTTTATTAATTGAAAGATTAAATAAAATTTTTAGTCTGAATCGAAAAAATTGATTAATTTTTGTGTTAAAAAATTTTAAAAGTATTCAATATTTTTGAAGATAAGAAGATAATTTTATAGATTAAAATGGATGTTTAGCTGAGTAAATTAATAAAAATAAAACTCTCAATTGATATGTACTATTTATAATTTCATGCTCAAAGCACTCTCTTATTATTTGAAATTTTTGTACCTTGAGTGCTTTTTTGAACTGAAAAACTATTTTTAAATGACTGTCAAAAGTACTCTTTACCATGATATTGAAAATACTAGACATTCAATAAAGTTTTCGTTTTTGAATCAACAAATTAAATAATAAAATTTAGGATTAACTCTATGGAGATATTTTTGTTTTTCAATTCATACATTTTCAAGTGATTCTATCGAGTTATAAGAAATTTACTTTTAGATACCGAAAAATTGTTTAATGCCTACTATTTTTCATATCTACAATATAAGATGATTAAAAAATATTTTTACTTTCATAATAAGGTTGAAGGGATCCTAAAAACGGCGCAGTAATATTAGTGCTATTTGTAAATGCTAATACCATTTTCAAAGCAAAAGCTCGATCTCTTATAGCTTTTTTAGTAGCTTTTTCTAAATTCCTGTAAAAAATCATCATTTAATAAGAAAAAATTTTTCAACTGTTAACAATAATGATATAAATAAAAAAAAGTAATTGTCATTACTGTAAATCTTCTGGCAGGGGGCTTGAATTGATTAAGTTAGCAATCGAATTTTGGGGACTCTTAATAGCTTCAACATCGGTAATATCCAGCTTATTGATACGTTCTATCCATTCATTGTTAGCATCATCGTCGACATCATTTTCAACAGCATTGGGAACTTGTGGAGGCTCCAATTGTTGTCCAGGTCGACGTTCATTACCTTGAGGATTTTTACCCCAACCCCTTCCTCTTCCAATAGATGTCATTTTTACCTAAATATCCAAGTTAATTTATTAATTAATTATTTTAGACTAAGAATTAATTTGTTTTTTTTTTTTTTTTGTTTTTTGTGAAAAATAAACACAACCAAACAACACCAAGTAAACATTAAATTGCAAAAGAATTTAGTAATTGATTTTTACGTGTGATTAGCTAAATTATTAAAGAAGAAAATAGTAACTTACTTTTTAGTCAAATTAAACTTTTTTTACTGAAATTTATTACAATAAGTTCCCTCCAGAATATCGGTGAATTTTGTTACTTTATTCCACATTTATATTTCATAACCTATAAAAACATTTCGTGTCACCATTTTAATTTATGAAGCGCGGGAAATTCAAAATTCAAAAGTTCTTTGTGAAAATATTGTAAGATTTAATGAAATTTTCATTTATACAGATGATAAATATTAATAATTGTTAAATATCGCAATAAACAATAAAAAAGCAACGATTATCTTTCTTATAAATGACATTTAAATATGATAAAAAATATGAATGTTCTTAACTGCGCAGGAACAGAAAATAGAGCCAATAAATGAAGACAATTAAAAAGAAACTAAATGCGATTGGTTGATTGATAAAAAAATATTTGATTGGTTCAATAACACAGTCTTAGTACCGACATCAGTAGTCATCGTCATAATGCATTGAAATTGCAATAAGAAAAAAAGTGAAATATTAAAAATAAATAATAAAAGAATTTTTTTATCTGTAAACTTCAAACGTTCGTCGAGTTATCGTGTGTCATTATTGCTATCAAGCGACTAAGTATAAGACCAAATAAGTTCAATGAGTGTTTTATTTAGTTTACTCTTTACTCTCACTTACTAATATTTTTTTTATTTATTCATTATTCTCTTATTATTGTTATTATTATTATATTCTAGTTTGAATTATATTAGAAATATAGGAGTGGTGAAAGGACTGAATTGTGTTAAAATTTTCTACATTTTAATTGTTGGAGATCTGATGTTATTCAGAAATTTTATTTCATATTTGTGTTAAGTCATCGTGAATATACACGCATATATACGTTGTAAATTATTAATAATTAATTAATGATGACGACTGAAGAAAAATTCGATGCTGCTGTTAATGTTATCAAGAATCTACCGAAAAATGGTAAGCTATTATCATTTTATTATTTTTATATGTATTTATTTGATTATTAGGTTAAATTAATTAATAATTTTAATTTTAAATAGTGTATATGAAACCGTTTTTTTTTTTTTTTTTTTTTTTTTTTTTAATAAATGTGATTAATTTTTTTGTATAATTAAAAAATTTTTCACGAGTTTAATATAATTTTATTTTTTTTTAATTTCAGATTTAAAAAGTTTAGTCGTTTAAGTATGGAATGGTTAATTATTTATTAAGAAAAGCTAGAATATTCTGTTTAATATTTCATTGCTCTGAATATGTGTCAATGTGACAATGTATGTGTGTGTGTGTGTGTACAGTGTGTTCATTAAACACTATACATAAGACTTCCAATACATTCAACAATTTATTGAGAATTTGAAAGGGAAAATAACGCGCTCTTAAACTTTCTCATTTATAAATTATCACTTTCACATCTTTTAAAAAATTAATTTTTTGTCAATTCTAAATTTTCACTATAATCAATTATTGAATTTCAAATGATGTACATTTAATTATTTAGTAACATTTTTTATAAGTAATACCTTACTCGTATCTCAAGAATTGATTCGTTGTTGGAATAAAAATTTTACTTTCATTTCAAACTTGTAAATTTTTATTAAAAAAATAGAAAATGTTTATCTTTTGAGCTTAAAAATCTTAGGGCCAGTTTTTCAATCCGAGATAAAATTTTATCCGAGATAAAAGTACTGTCAATATAATGAAAAAAAAAAAAAAAATAAATAATTTAGCGACGTGAATTGGTCATTTATTTAAATAAAAAATAAATATATCATAAAAATAATAATAACCTCTTATTGTGTCATTTAAATTATTTTAAATTAATTACCACAATTGGGGAGTTAAGTTTCAAAAGGGTATCTTTTCATTTTTGTTTAATCGAGATAAAAAACTGAATATCTTCAATTATAAATATTTTTATTGAACTTTTTTAATTTAACTATAAAGTGCTATCGGTTATGAAACTACAATTCGATTTTCATTTAGAAATATTTATTATTCTCAAAGTAATTAATATTTAAAAGTTTAAAAAACTCCTCTTCTAAAATATGAAAAGATACCCTTTTGAAAATCAGCTCCTCAATTATAGATTAATAATAGATATGTCAAACGCAAGATATGAGCTAGCTCGAAGAGCTCAAAAGCATAGAACAGTGACTGCTCTGAGCTCAGAGAGCTCAAAATAACACATAAATTGTAATTTGGAGCTCGATAATGTTACAAGCGCTTATATATGGAATTAGCGAAAAGTTGCAGGGATGGCCTTCAGGGTCATCCGTTTTCCTAATTTTTATTTTATTTATTTACAATCAGCAAGTTGTCACAGTTGGAGAATATTTCTGTGGCATACGGCTAATGTTTATTTATTTTAATTAAAAATAAGTGACTGAATTCAGGGAGAACTACTCGTACGCAATATCACTGTGCTGAATTATTTATTTTTATTATTATATTGGCAGTACTTTTATCTCGGATTGAAAAACTGGCCCTTAAAGTTTCAATTTAAACAGAAGTAATTTTTAAAATAATCAGAATAACTTCCTAAAACCTTATAACGTTGAAATCTGATAAAAACTTAATTTTTTAATTTTTACCTAAATCAATCCTGAATTTTGAAAAATTTAGAATTTTCACAGCCAAAGGAAGTTGAGCAGAACATCAAAGTTTACTTTAAAATTGATAATCTTTCAGGTTTTACTTCGTACAATTTATTTTTGTTCACAGTTTTCCTCATTTAATTAGCATGCGTCATTGTTATCTGTATAAAAAAAAATGTTGAAATATTTTAAGTACTTCAGTTGAATAAATCTGATAAATAATTGAAATAAATATTCATGATAATAAATGATTAAATTAAAAACAAAGAATGTAAAAAGGAGCCTCATAAATCATAAAAAAAATTGAAAAAATTAAGTATGTGCCAGCTTTTATGAATAATGTCTAGGAGTTGAAAGTTTAAGTTGGATTAATGTCGGCATGGGAACCCTTGCTGTGCAATAAAAACGATTTATAATATTCTCATTAGAAGTGCATTCAAGATATTTATGAAACGGCGATGTATTTCTTCCTTGCTTGAAGGAATTAAATAAATTGAATAAATTGGAAAGAATACAAATTTTTTATTAATCTTTCAAAAAACAACTTAGATTTTTATTAAATAACTTGAGCTTTTATTTTTGTGTCAATTTTAAATCAGTAAAATTAATGACAAGTAAAAAATCATGACTATTTTAAAACCACTTGATTGAACCAAGTTAAATGAAGAAAAGAAAAAATTGCGACACGTGCTACTTATATTACATCAAACAAATATTTATAAATGTAAAAAAAATAAACGATAATGAAATGTATGAATATTTGCTAGATAACTAACTTGAAAAGGCACGATTATGTCTTATGATTATTGACGATTTTTAATGTAGGTATAATGAACAGTTCTGAAGAAATGATTGAAAATTTTTAGTCTATAAAATTTTTTCCTAATTGACAGTAGAAAAATTATATTTTTTCATTGTTGACAATTAAGGATTCTCAATACTGAAAAATTTTTATGAAGTTATTTTTTACAAATTTAATCAATCATTTTTTCATGTGTCATATTGAATATTATTATTATTATTATTATTATAAATTATTTAATCTAAAAAACAATTGCAATTCCTTTATAGGCTTACAAGACTTTAAATAGATTGAATTTACACTTTTACAGAAAATTTTCTTCAAAGTCTCATACATAATTAGTATCCTGACATTTCGATGATTACTTTTACTGAATATTATGTTACTTCTTTCATTATTTCTTTTGTCTTCTATCATTAGATATTATTAAAGTTTAAATTACTACAATTTTACAACATAGATGATAATAACAGTCATAGAAAAAAAAAAACAAATTTAAACCACAAAAAAATTTCATAATATCTAAATCTTTAATTATTATAAGTAGTCGTTTTATTTTTTAAATTTAAGAAATATTCAAGTACTTCTTAATATAAAATAGATTATTTGTAAATTTTTTTATTATCATCAATAACTTAAAACTTACTAATTTAAATGATATTTATTTAGTAAAAAAAAAAAACAAATGTTTTCGTCATCCGGTTGACCTCTCAAGTTACAGAAGAGATATTAGTGTCAAAAAAATGATGTTTAACAGATTTTATGAACTTGAAATAATACTGTTCACTTACTTTTATTTTATTAATATTTTCAAATTGATTTGCATTCCTTCATTCTTTTAAATAACAAACAGGTTTGGGATAAATTAAAATTTTACCTGAGTAATATTTTTAGCTTTTATCTCTCAATATCTTTTATTTTACTGAGTTGACAAATCAGTTATCATATTTTTTTTTTTATTTTTTTTTAATCTTTTCTTTTCTATAAAAGTATTAACAAAAAGATTAATGAATTATTTTTTAATAGATTGCCAAACTAACTATTGCACTTTGTCCTGATACTGCGATTTTCAAAACAATTTAACAATTTTTTCTATTTTTCGTCGAGTTGGTTCAAAAATACTTTCGGTACAAAAATTCGTATACTTATATATCTAATAATAATAATAATATATCTTTTACACCATGGCTGTGATAACATCTACAGGTCTAAACGAATCTTTATGAAACTTGACATACTTAATATTCAGACGATGGCCTCGGTTGAGACCGAAGATGAGCCAATAAATTGGTTGATTATTTTGTAATGTCATTGAAGATTGAAAAAAATGGATGTCTTCCTTGTTTCTTTTTAAAAAAAAAACTTTAAATTGAGACTACTCATCGAATTTCCGTAAAATATATCCTAAAATAAGCGTTGTCTTTAAAATAATTTTATTCTCGGATCAAAGTTATTTCTTTTGAATAAAAATAGTTTTTCTGAGTTTTCAGAAAATTTTTTGAAATAAAATTTTAAATCACTTATCGCTAATTTTACTTTGAAAATTAAAATAAAAATTTTTCAACTTTTGAATTTTATCACATAAATGAAATTTTCAAATTTTTTGACAATCCATCTGAATTCACTAATAATTCATGAGACATACATCTTTCCTACTAATTATTATCAGAAAAAGACATAGATATTTTATGTACTAAGTAATTAAAAAACAAACTTTGCACTTAAAGTTATTAAAATTATATAAATATAAAATTTATTAGCAAATATTTTTATTTTAAGTAATAAAACTCATTAATACAATCCATAATTATAATATATATACTGATAATTACAATTATTCAATTTATTATACATAATTAACTACTATAATATCTTTGTTCGGTTTTTTTTTTAGATTTATACTTATCAATTAATAGATATTAATTATAGTTACGTCAATCTTTGTAAAAAGTAATTAAAAAATAATGATTCAATAACAAAAAAAAAAAACAAATTTAAATTTACGTATTTGAATGATGAATCATATTTTGCATTATACTAAAAAAATATATTTTTTTCAGGTGCTTATCAGCCAAGTCATGAATTACAATTGCGTTTTTACGCTTACTACAAACAAGCGATGGAAGGACCATGTCAACAGCCAAAACCAGCATTTTGGGAAGTGGTTAAAAAAGCCAAATGGGATGCTTGGATGAAATTAGGAAATATGAGCCGTCAAGAGGCTATGAACAATTATGTTGAAGAATTAAAGAAAATTGTTGAAACAATGTCTTACACCGACAACGTCGCTAATTTTTTGGGCAGCTTAGATTCATTTTATGAAAGTGTACCGTCTGAAGATTTAGAAATGCTCGTGGGCCCAGTTATTGAACGTATGCGCTCACAACCTGGTTCACCATTATCTGGATCACCATTAGGTATATTCATATTTTTAATCAAATATTTAAATTTAATTTTCTATTTTATTTTTCAATTAATTAAATGTAAATTTAGGTTCTAGAGAAACGTCACCACAAAGAGTACGCAATTCATCACGTCATATTACTAGTAGCTTGGAAACAAGTCCTGCTAGTAGTCATAGTGCAAGTCCACTACCACCTGATAGTGATGGTGATGAAGAAGAAGAATTTAAAGATACTTTAGAGGTAAATTTATATTTTAATAATAGTAAATATTTAAAATTTTTAATTTTAATATCACAATTTTCTAAAAAATTTATAAATTTTTTTAGAAAATTTGTTAAAATTGTGATAGTCAACTTTTTTTTTTTTTTAAATTGTTCATTTATTTTTTTTGTATTAAAAAAAATATATCAATAAAATCAAATAGAAATTTCGTTCAAAAAAATGAAAATTAAAATGGTCGACTCCACTTGTAAATATTTACCAAAATTTATTATTATCCAAAAAATAACTCGTGCTTTTGATAAGTTTTATGTAATTTTTTGTCATCATATTTTCATTTTTTGTTTCAAATTCAATTCAGCTATTACTCTTTGTCTTCTTATTAGTATTTAAAATTATTTAATTTTATTCTTTAAGTTACTAACAATCTAACTTATTATCATAATAGTATTATACTAAGTTAAAAATATTAAATACTAAGATAATTATTGTTATAATCAATAATCATTAATATTAAAATTTTTTTATATCAATCACCTGAAGTTATTAACTTTGCTATCTTAAGTCATTTATAAATTGGATTCATCATCCGAAGTGACCTATTCAGTTTTTCAGGCCATATTCCAATGAATAAATTATCATCTCAACTTATTTTTTGTTATTAATAAATTAACATAATTTATTTTTATATTATTCGACAGTGGTATTAGTAAATGAAAAGAGCAAACAAATAATATAAATAGATTTACGCCTATGATTTATTTACCTAAAGAATAACACTTTTCTGACATATTGGATATGTAACTGAAAATCAAGATTTTTTTACATTTAAAAAATGTATTTTCTTATACGTCGTTTATCACAAAATGAATTAAATTATATACTTCTGTTTATTTAGACTTTGATTGTATAATTAATTAAATAATTTTCTCAGTCGGCACCTCTAGAAAAATCATTCAAAGAATTAAAGTCTTCCATTGGAAATGGACAATCAAAAAAAAATATCGGGGACCAAGTTAAGTTAACAGCAATACCAACAAGTTTAACAAATGGCTACGCTAAAAACATTAATGAAGGAAAATACCATTTGATAAATAATGACAAACACAATAATCATGACCGCAGCAGAGCAAGAGATAAAAAACATGATAAAGATCATCATGAAGAAATAAAAAGTGAACTAATAAATCAAATGGCTGAGACATTACAAAATTTACAAAATGATTTGGACAGGATAACTGGTCGTGTTAGGAGTTTAGAAGGACAAAATTTACAATTACTCACCCCTCAAACGGTAAATAATAATTTATGATTTACAAATGTTTCTAAAAATTAAATTTAAGTATTTTAATATTCTTTATTCTAGGAACGATCAAATATTTATCCAAGATGGTGGCCCTTATCAGATTGTTCACCAAGAATCTTAGCATTAATAATTTTGTGGCCGTTTGCAGCTCAATTTGCTATCAATATCATTCGACGTTATCGCCAACAAAGAATGTGATCTATTTAATTACCGATAAATATTTAAATTGTTTATTCCGTTAAACTATGTCTCGATCACACTTTAAAGTAGATTAAATTGTTTTTATAATGAATTTTAAGCTGAATTCAAGTTATAAAATATAATAGTTAATAATTGTTTACATAAAAATAAAAAGTATAAATACGAGTAAGAATTTTTTTATGGAGATAGGTGATGTAAAAATTTGTTTCTTTGATAAACTGCAATTATTTGTATATAATGAAAATTAATCATAAAAAAAAAAAAATAAGTAATATAATATTGTTCCTCGAATTGCTCAAATTGTTATTGACAAGGTTCTGAGGAATGTCAATTTACACGTTAGCCAAAATGTTAAATTAATAGAAAAACAAATTGATGATAAATGATAAATTATCTTTGAGACTTTAAATATTTAATAATAAATTGATAAATTGTACAAAGCAAATACTATTACATTCGTCAATATATTTTTTAATATTAGTTTTTTAAATTTCACGCTTTTATTTTTTTATAAGTATAATTATATATGAACTGTTGATGGAAGATTATTTTTCATGATAAAATTTTTATTTTATAGAATTTATTTTTATTTGTTGGCTATAGTTTATTATTTGTTATTTTATTTGATTATAATATTCATTGTTTTCTGTATATTGATAATAAAATTTAAATATTAATTAAAAAATTTTTATTATTTTTCTTAATTCACAAATTCATACAAATGCAACCTAAATCTAAATCAAGATTTTTTTTAATTTTTACAGAATACTAATATTTTTATTTTGAGATTTGTAATTGTAGTTAAATATTTTCTATATTTACAAATATTTAATACTTAAAAAAACTCATAAAATTAAAATTATTGTATCAATCGAGCCCGACATAAATATATGCTCCTCAAAAAAGAAGTGTTTGTGCATTCATGTAGAATTGAAAAGTTCCAAGTATAATTTTTGGTGGCGCTGTCTGTATGCATGAATACACTCTACCGATAAACTAAATAGTTTAGTGTTTTTGTGCACGCTATCAATCTCTGGATTTAATAATAAACAATTTTATACAGTCATATTTAGTTTTTAATAACTTTACTGGATACATAAAGAATATTAAAAGTTTAATACTTCCATTAAGGGTGACAATTGATTTTGTACAAATAATCGCATAATTTGAGTACAAAATCGTATTATTTGTTGTCCATTACACAACGTAAACAAAAAAAATGGGACATACCAGTTGTTGTGTTGTTGGTTGCACCAACACGGGAAGAAACAGCAATTGTAAATTTTACCGTTTTCCAACAGCAGCATGGAAATTAGAAAAAAGAAAAAAATGGATTAATGCTGTAAAAAGAAAAAAGTAAGTATTGTCTAATCTAGCTGTCGTGTACTTACTAAAGTATTTTATGTTGTAGATAAAAAGTGATATTTTTTAAAAGTTACTTTAAAATATTTGTCTTTAAATGAAAAAAGATTATTCTTCATGATCTTGTATCACTATTCAAGTAAAATAACATGAAATAATATTGTCCAGGTTTGAATGACATTAAATTTAGCTGTCACTTGACAATTTTTATTTTTTTATTTAACAAATAAATTTTTTCGGAAAAATTATTTTTAAAAAATTGCATTTTTAATTTTTTAAAATTTCTACATGTCAATTTTTTTCCACCACAATATGTTACAAGAATTTCTTAAATTATCAAATATCTGCTAGATTTGAATACCTATAATGGAACTTACTGAAAATATCAAATCTACATGTACAAAAATTACTTGTAAAAATAAAATAAGTAGTTATGTAAAATCCACATTTTTAAATAATGCTATACATACAAAGAAAAACTCTTAAATTTACAGGACTAAACATTACATAATTTACCAATTTTATATTGATAAAAAAATTATGTTAATTCTTCTTGAATAAAAATACTAATTTGAAAAACTTCAAAAAAGTTAGACGTCAAAAGTTTTAACTCGTATGGATGGGGAAGCTTATGTTTAAACTTTAAAGACATTTTTAGAGGTCCGTGTGCCCCTAACTGAACAGTGTCAAACGCTTTTAAAAATTTCCGAAGAAAATTGAGTATAAAAAAAAAAAAATTAAAAAGAAAAACTTTAGTTAAAAACAAAAATTCTTTATGATGCATGATGCCATTTAAATTACTTCAGAATCATTTTCAAAAAAAAATTTTTTTTTTTAATTTCTCAAAAAAAAAAAAAAAAAAAAAAAATTGGTTCTTTTCTCAATTCTCGGCGAATTACAGTAAACTATATTTTTTAATGTCTTTAGAGCTTTTAGAATAAGAAAAAAATTTTTTACGAAATTTAGAGGTACCCCGTTTTGCCCCCCCCCTTATTTTCTAACGTGAACTTTGTATTTTTCCAATGTACAACTGAAAAATGTGCTAATGCTAAATTTATAGTTTTTCCATGTAAATTTAACTGTTTTTCCACCTGTTAAATTTATATTTTTTATAATGTAAAAATTATATTTCTAAAAATGTGAATTTAACAGTTATATATTGACAGGACTGAAACTATAAATTTAACAGTTTATTCTGTGATTTTAACAGGACTTTTTTCCTTTTTATTATAGTCACACATGGATTTATATGATAATGCAAGTGATAAAACACTTGATAATTTTTTTTAACATATAAATTATAAGAAAAAACATTTAGCCTGTGGTAATTATAACAAACTATAAATCTAATTTTTTAAAACTAATTTGTTTGTTAAATAACATCCAAAAATTGTCAAGTATCTGCTGACTTCAAAGAGATCAATCTTTCTATAAAATCACCTTAGAAATCAGAGTTTTTTTATAATTAAATTAATCAGATCTCAAGATTACCTGCACTTATCAGGTAGATATAATATGGTTAGATCTAATATTTATATTCCATTAATTTTCTGGTTTAATTTTGCTACATGCATTGTTGATGTTACTAGATTTTAAGCTTACGAACCTTTTCAAATTTTAATCAGAGCTGATCATATTTGACTGATATGATATATTGATTTGATATAAAATTTGATCATTTTTAATTTTTTAAATGTACGAAAATGTTTCGAATTAAATTTGTTGTAGTTTTGATGGCTCACCATGGTATCCGAAACCGAGTGATCATATCTGTAGCGATCATTTTGTTGGTGGTAAAAAATCAGAAGAGGAACTAAGTCCCAGTTACATCCCGACGATTTTCCCTTCAATCTACGGATCATCCACAGTTAACACATCTACTGCTCTAAACAGGTATACCGTGATAATCAATGTACACAATTGTAATCAAAAAGATAATTATCTACATTATAATTTCAGGCATAAACGTTTTATGGAACGAAGAATTAAGAAGCAAAATTTAACAACTGCGGTACCGAGTGAAAATGATAAATTTGTTTCAAGAAATAACGAAATTATAATTGACAATTTAGCTGATCGTTGCTATTCCACTAATGTAAAAAAAATTAGTCAAGCAACTCAAGTAAATATATTTTTTGAGCCAATCGAAATGGCCAAAACATTCATTTGCAATAGATACATTTACAACGACAAAAATGATGCTGAGGTTCAAACGTCTATAACAGAACATATTGAAAGTAAATGGAAAATTCCTACGAAAAATTTTAGCGAAAAATCTTGTGGCACTGATCATATGATTCGAGTTGATAAGTGCGTTGCTACGGGCAATAAATGTTTCTGTGGTTTTAAATCAATTCGCAAAGATGATCAGTTGATGGAGTTGGCAGGAGTTACTTTTAATAATTTTGATTTTTTATTGAAGAAAATGAGTTCAATGAATAAATGTTTGATATCAAATGAAGACCGGCTGTTAATTTTTTTAATGAAAATAAAAACAGGTCTAACGTTTTCAACTTTGAGTGCTTTGTTCGATGTTCATAGGACTACAATCTCAAGAATTTTTCATACAACTCTACAGAATTTGGTTTCAGCAACAACAAATTTAATATATTGGCCAGATTCAGAAACTTTAAAAGCAACGATGCCTGCTTTTTTTCGTTTAAACTATGGTAATACTCGAGTAATCATCGATTGCGTTGAATTTAAAATAGAAGTGCCAGCAAGTATCGATAACAGTGTTTATCGTTGTCCAAATAATGATAAAGCTTTTACAGCCAAAATTCTTATCGGCATTACTCCTGGAGGCTTTCTTTGTTTTAAATCTAAAGCAGTTGGTGCTAGAATTACTAACTCACAACTGATAGTTGACTCTGGATTAATAAACAATTTAAAAGGTGGTGATGTTATTCTAACTGGTAAAAAATGTTACGGAATCAATGCAGCTATTTACCAAAGTGAAAAACAGATTAAGGTTGTTACACCAAAAATCTCAGAAGATAAAACAAATTGTCAAAGAGCAGAACCTGAGAAACCTAACAGCAACGTTGCTAAAGTACAAATTCACATAAAAAAGATGATTGAAAGCTTGAAAGTTTATAAAGTTTTGGATAACATTCCTGAAAATTTATTTGATCATGTAGATGATATTATACACATTTGCTGCGTTTTGGTTAATTTAAACAAAGAAAAAGTAAACATTGTGATAAAACATTCGCAGCCAATTGAATTGTTATAGTAGTTAATAAAATTTGTCATAATTTTTGTTAGATTTAAAATTCTCTTTTTATCTAACAAATTTTTGATCGTATTTTTTTTTATAAAGAAATTAATTCTATAACTAATAAAATAATTATCAATTAAAATACTTTGATTATTCAACTTGGAAAATGTTTAGGAAGAAATTTAGTAAATATATTAAGTATTTAAATAATTTTGAGTACTAAGACGTTAATAATTATTCAAGGATTTTAATTGTTTAAATTTATTTATAATTATGGTTTTATTACTTTTTATTTGGCATTGTTATTACACGTACCTGGAAAAAAAATTTCAAGAGTACAATTTCATAAAATTTTGTGAAATTTTATGAAAAAGTTTTTTCCCAGGTAATTTTCAGTACAATAATTAAATCTAAATTTTGATAAATATTTTCACTTATTTCATTATTTAAATTTTTAAATTTAATAATAAAAAAGTATAATAATATTACGTAGTTTTAAAGTTAGTTTTTACTTAAAAAATTATTGGCATTACATTCCATACTTGCTTAGTAATAATGTTCTTAATTTAACTTAAATTTTCAATAAGATAACAATTTTACAATCATTATTGTACTCTTTACTAGATATAACTTAAATTAAAGTTTCTGCAAACTTTACATAAGTACGATGTGCTAATAAACTAATATCATTATTAACTTAATATTAATCAACATGTCGAGAACGAAACAATACGATTATCATCATCATCACGGAGCAACTTATCTTCCATTTTACTGTCAATCTCAATCACTTGGCAATCATCATCATCGCTCTCAAGTAGTTGAATTTCAGTTTTAACATTTCCTATTTGAAATTCACCAACTGAATTACATTCACAGGGGGACTCAAAAATAATAGGTGAAGTTCCGCGATTAACAAACGTTTTGTTAAATGTTTCTAATCTAATTTTTTTACAATTCTCAAGTCTTTGATCTTGACCTTCAGCTTTAACTATTTGATTGGCTTTTTTCAGAGCAGTTTTAGCTTGAAGCCACAATCTTGCATCGACAGTTCTTTTAACCTTCTCTCTATGAGATAGTTCTCTGTTCATTAGCTCATCAAGATCAACATCATCATTTCTAATAGCACGACGTTGGTCAGCACGAATTCCCAAAATCAAGGGAGATAATTCTCTCGAACGTATTTTCGTCTTATTGTTATTAATGTTACGTCTCTCAGTATCACATTTGTGTTTTTTGCGGCATCTAGAACGCCTAGAATGTTTGCTTTTATTTCTTTTCACTGGCGAGTGATTTTGAGTACGCGAAGACGAGTGTGAAGAATAAGATGAATTTGATGGAATCTCAGAAAAACTTTCGCGTTGTTGTTGGGACAATAGCACTGAAGGATTAATATGAATTTTACGATGTATTGGCATCACCACTGCTACATCCATTCCTGGAGAAGAAGCTAATGGCACTGTCACTGGTTGAGTACATTTCAACATTCGATCATTGAGCAAAGGTGTTGATCCTTGTGGATAATTATAGTAATAATCCGTTGATTCATCTAATTTAACATTCAATAATAATTGAAGTAATATAAATTTATTAATAATACTGAAATCAACAGAGATCTTACAAATTTTTTAGATTTTTATAACAATTATTAAATTATTATGAAAAAAATATTAAAAGTAGAAATTAATTAAAAAAACTTTAAAAAAAATTTTTTTTTTTTATCAAAATTGATTTCTTATAAAAATTGTCAAAAATCAGATGATTTTAGTATCATATTTAATTAACACTTACCCATCATTTTTTTTTTTTTTTAATTAATTTAAAGACTTATGAAAATACCCGAAGAAGCTAAAATAAAATGTAAACAAAATATTAATAAATTCACGTGAATATAAGCACTACTATTCTAGAACAAAAACCCGTTAAAGTGATTTATCGGTATGACACTGTCGACTAAATATGCAAGACCTGAACTTAAGTTACGCTACTTTATATCTTTTAATCTCGGTATCAAATTATAACTATTCATACAAATATAAATATTACAATGCTATCTTGAAAGTTTTTGATTTGAAATATTATACGTAAAAAGAATCAGTACTTTTCATGCATATGCATTGTATGTATTGTATTCACTCTTTTTTATGGTAACAATGAAATTTTATTTATCAACATGTGACTCGCCATTCAGGTATGAGACAATTAAATATTTCAAAAAAATATATAATTTCCCAAGCGTTACATAAAAAACTGTTGACTTTTTGGTAAATGTTATTTAACAAAAAGTCAAAAATTAATAATTGTCAACTTAAATTTAACAAAATATTACCAAAAAAATTTTTGTGCCGCTTGGTTTTGTAAAGAATTGTCTAGTAGCACAGTTTTTTTCGCTAGTGACTAATGGAAGAATTAAAAAACGCATCTGTAGTATAATTATTGACAGACAACTAGTTTAAAATTGGTTAAGATTCGACATATTACCGAGTTTGTAATTTCGTATTTCATAAAATCATAATATATATATAAAGAATATAATAATCATAATATAAAAAATGAGTAGAAGATTAAAGTTTAATAAAAAAGTCCTACTTGCAGAGTAACACCACAACAAAGTACAATTATCCCGAGAAAAAATTTTTCTATATAATCATATATAATTGTATATAATCATATATGATTATATAGGGAATCACATATATAATTATATAAAATTATATATAACCATATATAATTATACATGATTATATATGGAATTGTATATGAGGTCATATATAATCATATATAATTATATATAATCATACATGATTATATATGAAATTGTATATGAGGTTAT